AAAAAAAAAAAAAAAAAAAAAAAAAAAAAAGCAAATACCCTAAACCACTAAAACTAGGAAACAAGATTAGGGGAAAAGATTTACTATTTTCTATATATGTTTCTATAGCATTTAACTATTTTCTATGTTCACAAATAGCATTAGTAACTTTTGAAAAGAATAAATAAGATCATATAAATTAGGAATATCTAAAACCATCTTGATTCCCTGTAGTTCTTCCACTCTAGACAGTTTATGTTCTAAGCTCTTAAAGATTTAGAATTTGTGCATTTTTTTTAAGACCTGTTTGTACCATTTCAGTTTGTGGCATGTGCCCCACCCCCCCAAAAAAATCCTTTGTATGACATCCCAGCTGGAAGAGAAAGAGGATTATAGCTGAGGGCCAGAGCAGGGGTGCAGCTCAGTAGTAGAGCATTTGCCTAGTATGCTTGGAGCCCTGGGCTCAATCCTCAGCACTGGAAAAAGAAGAAATACAACCAACATCTTAGGGAAGGAAAAAGAAATTATTTTGGTTTCTTGTTCTCTACCCTTAAGCCTGAGACCCTCAAGTGCAGAAGATCTTCAGAAAGAAATTTGAGAATCCTAAGGTTTTCTACTTGATCCTTCCCCTGTATCCTTGAATTTATCCAGCACATTTAACTGAGGGTGGCCCCATCTCCAAGCACCAGACAAGGAAATAGATTCAGAGGGGGGCTCTTATAGAAAGAGACAGGTCCACACTTGGAATTGTCTGTTTTCAAGGCAACAGTAGCCCCATTCTGGACTCACTCAAGGCCTCCATTATGATCCCCAGAAAGATGGTGGTTTGCAAGGAGAAGGGTCCTATGTAAGATGCCAGTCTGGACTGGCAGCTGATGATGTATGTAGGGCAGGAATCATCTGGAGCTTACACCCAAGTCCCTTCAGCCAGGTGGTCAGCACGGCTCTGCCGACCTGCGCCCAACAACTCAAATGGCCTAAGGTTACCTCTCCCTCCTCTCATTAGAGCTCATGGGCCATGCACAGATGACGGATGTGCTTGCCCTTCAATATAGCACAGACCTGCTCTTCTTCTCCCATTCTGGTCAGTTGCTGAGAACATGAAACTGTTTCCTTATCCAAAAACCCACGAGTTGACATTGTTTGTGGAAGGGGAGAGCTCTCGATTTTTCCTTTTGTTAGAACAGCACAAAAGCATCACTATGACTGTGTTTTCCAGGAGGCATAAAGCAATAGTGATCAGTCTAGGATGGCAAAACTTTATAGTATCTAAACTAGATTGTGAGCTCTGAATTTGGGGTTCCTAATAGTCTATGCAGTGACCTCAATCGTGAAGCATTTAAAACAACTTCTCCAACTGGGTCTTCAAAGATTCTGATACAGCAAAGGGTAGAGATGTTTCTGTTGTATCCCAAAGATCTCAGCTTTAGCATAAGAACAAGGCAAGCAAGTGGCAATTCACAGTGAAAGCTAACATTTATTGAACATATACTATGTTCTGGGTTAGTGCTAACCATTCTTCATGCATTAATTCATTGACTCCTCCAAAAGGAAGCCAGTGCTATTACTACTGCCCCCAGCAGTAACACAGGAGGATATTCACAGATGCAGGCATTGACCCTTAGAAAGATTGATAACTTGCCCTAGTTCTCACAACTGCTATGACATAGAACTTGAATTCAGGTCTCTCTAAGCTTCAAGAGGTACTCCATACTTCCTTGTATAAGTTTAAAGGTAGTAAGCATCTTGACTCAGAGGACATTAAGAATAACTGCCTAGCCCAAAGGTTTTCATCCACGTAAAACTTTCATAATAATACAGAAGCAACCCAAGTATCCATACATGAAAAATGGATGTACAAAATGTAATGTGTTTATACTGTGGAATATTACTCAGCATTACAAAGGAGGGGAATTCTGACCCATGGACGAACACCAAAGATAATGAACTAAGAAAAAGAAGCCAGCCACAAAAGGGCAGCTTCTATGTGATGCCACTTACCTATGGTACCCTGAAGAATGAAAGTCACAGAGTCAGAATGCAGAATGGTGGTTGCCTGGGCCAGAGGGGAGGGTGGAATGGGAGGAAACATTTAGCAGGAATGGTGTTTCAGTGTGCAAAGATGGGAAGTTCCAGGAACAAATGGTGGGCGATGGCTGCGCAACAGTGTGGATGTACTTAAGCCACCAAAATGGTAAAGTGTGTGCATGATTTACCAAAATTTAAAAATACTGTGCCTTGTACCCACACCAGTTAAATCGGGGTCTCTCCAGTGTAAGATCCAGAAAGATAGCTACTTTTGTAAACAACCCAGACGGTTCTAATAAGCCCTCGGGGTTGAGAACTCTAGAATTTGGGACTCCATTCTGGAACTCATCTTGCAGGAAGCCCCAGACATGGTGATAATTTCTTGCTCTCTCCTGCACACAAAATAGCTAAAAGCAAGTTCGCCTCATTACTGAGTCTCCTGATCTGTTGCTGACTAAGCTGCTAACTCCAAGAATTAACGAAAGATTCTGAAAGCAAAAATCTCCTCTACGGTACACTAGGTATTTCTGCGACTTAGAACTGTCTGCCTACCGCCAACCCCCCATACCGACCCCCACCCCCGGCTGAAGTCCAACAAGGGGACAGTGATTACTGAAGCGCTGTGATTTCAGAATACAGTACAGAAGCTCCCAGTGCAATCTGTAATTTATGCCACTGAGAGAGTCCCTCTGAATATAACTATTAAACACATACAACAGTCTTCTTTGGATTGCAGCACAACTTTCAGGTGATTCTTAGCAGTGGAGTGATGAAGAGGGCTTATTATAAGGGAGAAGGATTCATCTATGCAGCTATGCCACAAGGATTCTCAGTCTTCCTCTGTGCCTGGTATCGGGCCAGCACAAGGAACTCCATGATGTTCTCAATGAACTCACATTTTCTGAGAAAACATAGATTCATTCACTCATTCATTCCACTCATACATATTTCTTGAGCTCTTGAAATGTGCCAGACACTCTTCAAAGTACTAGCAACAAAGACAATACTTAAATATTTAACAATCTGGCGTGGTTACAGAATCAGATAGGATGGTCTGCTGAGCCCAGTAGTAACCCTCAGGAGCCTGGATCAGGTGGAGATCCGGAGGATATGGAGGAGGAGCCAGGATGGCTAGGACCTTGGGGAAGGAAGACAAGTCTCAGGGTAGTGCTACTTATCAACTAGTGCATTTTCGTAGCTGGGAAAGCCCTATCTGTGGGTACCAGTTGAGTAACACCCTTGGCTCGGACATAGAGACCAACAATTCAGTCCACCCTTTAAATATGCCATGGTAAATTCTAAGGTGAAAGTCATCAGGAAGTGCAGAGGAGACAGGGAATGCAGCCTTACAGTTGAAGGAAGGCTTCCTGAACGAGGTGATAACCATGTTATTTGTTCATCCCGGCATGGAGAGGAGTCCAGGCCCCAAGGCCTTGTAGAGCAGCTTTATGAGGTCAGCCTGAGAATCCTCACACCTTTCCTTGTGTGTTACCTGTTGTCACCAGCTCTTCCTTTGTGTTTCCCAGTCTCAGAACAGCTACAACGAAGGCGACTACGAAGGAGCCCGGCGGCTGGGGCGGAATGCCAAGTGGGTGGCCACTGCCTCCATCATCATCGGCCTTGTCATCATCACCATCTCTTGTGTGGTGCACTTCACGAGGAAGTAAGCGGGCTTTTCAATCCCTCCTGATATTAAATAGCCCTTCTTGAGTGTCCACTGGAATCTGTTAGAACAGGTTAAGATATGCTCCAGGAACAAACAACTCAAAGCAGAAGGTTTTCATGTTTTCTTCATGTTACGTGGGCCATGTAGGCGGGGGAAGTTCTCTCCTCCACACAGTCATTCAGGATCCCAGGCGGACTAAAATTCTGCCATCTTGTATCTATTCTACCTAGAACAGGACTAAACAAATATTTTCTCTAAAGGGCCAGGTGGCAAATATTTTAGGCCTTGCAGGCCATGTGGTCCCTGTCATGGTATTTTGTCAGTGGTCCACAGTTTGGAAGCCTGTTCCTGTTTCATAAAGTTACTGCTGAGGTTAATTAGATGACCCACAGAATGTGCACTGTTTGGTGCCTGTTCTTTAGTTGGTGCACTAAATCTGCAAACCATTTCTTAAGCAGAGTGTTACTATCATTATCAACATGACTAAGAGAAGACCTAAGAATTCAGGGTGCCATTGAAAAGCATTCCAGGCTTTGCACTCATGCACCAGACTCAGAGAGGACAGTGTTCCAAAGGAATGAGGCTAAGTCTTGACTCAACTCCTGGGGCCTTGCGAAGATACACACTCCCCAGATCACTGCTTGAGTTTATCACGTTAGAACAGCAGGTAGGGCCGGGGATTTGGCTCACTGGTTCCACCACCTACCTCAGAAGCACAAGGGCCCGAGTTCAATCCCTGGTACCAAAAAAAAAAAAAAGATAGAATAATAGCAGGTGACACTGATATAGACCTTGCTGTATGCCAGGTACCATTCAGAGCTCTTACATGAATTAATCCTCCCTGAATCCTTACAGCAACCCAAACAAGTTATCACCCCCATCTTGCAGATAAGGAAACAGGCTCAGAGAGGTGAATGACTTGTCTAAGATCTCCCAGTTAGTCAGCAGTAAAGACAGAGCTGAGCCAGGCATGGTGGCACACACCTGTAATCCCAGCACTCTGGAGGCTGAGGCAGGAGGATCACTGCAAATTTCAGGCCAACCTGGACTTCATAGTGAGTTCAAGGCCAACCTGGACTACAGAGCAAGACCTTGTCTCAAAAAACAACAGAAAGACAGAGTTTAAGTGTGGCTCTTCATGCTCTGTTGGGTCCTTGCGCTTGCAAGGCAGGTGGCAGAACCGCTGAGCTAAATCCCCAACCCATGCTCTGTTCTTAACCACAACTCCACACTGCCTCTGCACCAGTGTGGCCCTTCTAATATACCCCATAACAAAAGCATTAAATAGCACTTGCCTTATTGCTAATTCCAGCTTTCGTTTATTTGAGAGTGGTATGGGAAGATTCAACTTACAAAAACATTTGATGAGGCAGGGCCCAGGGTCCCCAAGTCAGGCAGGAAACATCCACGAATGAAGCAGCCTAGTCATCAGACAATAAGGAGTGTTGGGGGCTGTGGTGAACTGGAGAGCACAGTTTAAAGAGAGAGGCCAGCACTCTATTCTAGTTATTATCACTTAGCATGATGGCCTTGTTTATGAAGAGATGTTGGAAGTCTGAGTTTTTATGTAAAGGCAACTGATTGTTAAATATTGGCAACCAATGGTGAGGGTCAGAAGTAAACAAGCAAAAAACAAATACCATACCTGCAGCCTGCATGCTATCTACTTTGCAATTTACAGTGGACATTTTGACTTTCAAAGATCTATTTGCGTATGAGAATTATCCAAGAAGTCTGAGCAAGGAACCCAAATTTTTCATATGTGAGCACTTTCTCCATTCTTAGCATAAATGTTTCTATATGGAGAAGAAATGCTGATCTGTATATGCTTGTGGTTGAAACTTTCTTAGTCAGAATAAAAAGTATGAAAGGGTCAACTCTGTTTCTAGTTAGAGAATTAGGACCCAAATCCTACTTCTAACACACAGACCATCTGGGCAATTAATTAAATTCTCTGAGACTCCATTTCTCTATCAACAAAATAAAAATAGAATTATTTCCTTATCTATAAGGTCAGATTCTTTTTCGATACCTTTCTCTCCACGTCATCAAAGAAAATAGCTTTTCATTGTTAGAATTCCATGGAGAAACTCAAATTTAAACTTTGTCACACAAGCGGAGGGAAAGGGAGAGCAAAGGACAGGCAGTAGGAAGAGAGATAAAGGGAAGGAGGGATGAAGAGAAAGAGAGACACAGACGAAGAGAGAAAGAGGAGAAGAGAAAGGGAGGAACTGATCCTTAGAGAATTAAATAAATTCTGTCTGCCATTAAGGTGAATAATATGGCCAGTTTCTCAGTAATCCCTTTGAAATAAAATTTCCCAGCCCTAGTTTACTAAAGGAATTGAATGACAATGTGGAACTAATAAGACAGAGGCTTAAAAGAAATGCTCAACCAGGCCCCAGCTCAAAAGCTTCCAATTTGCTAAATCAGACATGAGTCCCAGGAATCTGTATTTTTCCACTCCCCACTCCCACTCTGGGGATTCAGGCGCTGATGCTAGTAGAACCCTCTTTTCCAAACTCTGGCAAAGTCCAAAAGGAAGAACACACTGACGGTAGGTGCTCATAGAGTAGTCAGTTTTCATTAACATCAGCAAACTCATCATCCTAGCTTGTTACGTCTAAGTCAATGCCAGTGAGGGGGATAAGGTTACCGCCCAGCAGATGTAACCCATCCCAAGGAAGCCCTGGTGTAACAGTTCAAAGACAGCAAGAGGATCTGGGAAAATACAGAGGACACCAAGCCTGGAATGAGACAAAATCCTGCTTCTGGGTTACCTTTAAAAATATAGTCGGAAGTAAACTACTGCCTTTAAAAAATTGTGAAGACCTTGCCTGTAAAAACAAAATATTAGTCTCAAGTTGAGATTATAGCACCTGCCTAGCATATTCAGGGCCCTGGATGCAATCCCCAGAACTGCAAAAAATTAATTACTTTTAAAAATAAAGAATCTTTATCCTTATTGAGAAGATGGTAACAAATCTGCTGGAGAATAGATTGGAACCCAAACAGTCGAAATCTCAACTGTTCTTCAAATAGTCTTTGAATAGTCTCAGATCATGACAGTCTTTACCCAAACTCATAAAAAGAACTCATTCATCCTAATTTTGTAGGATATCTATGTAAGCCACAAGGTGATCGAACAAAGAAAGACAAGGTTTCATGTCATCAGATTCCTAAGAACTGAGAATCATTGAACCATTCAATAGCTCTGGGTAAAATACTGTGTTGACAGAAGGGTTCTGATCAATGAAATCGGAAACTTATCATGTCTCAAATTCAGAAAATTCTTTGCCCTTAAGTTGCTAGAGAAAGTGGAGAGATGACTCACATAGGTGAATTGTTTAAATATTGTAGTAGTCTATTTATCAGTCCTAATAAATTCAGATCTCCTGCAGGCTTTGACTTTCTCCTGGTGCCTTGAGAATTCAAATAAGGTTAGGTTATTTTCAATGGTCATGTGTCTCAAAGCCAAGGTCTAAGACAACAAATTCACCTTGATTGCTTGTAAAAATGCAGACTCCTGGGCCCAAGTCAAGCAACACACACTCGAAATTAACTAAGTGTTCTAAAGTTGTTAGGGCACTGTCCTTTGTAGTTCATACTTAATAGGGAACATTTTTGCTTGTGTGGACATAGGCCACAAAATAAGACTTTTTCACATCCCTACTGTAAATGTCAAACAGTTTTTCTTTCCCTACCTAGTCAAGCAATTCTCCAGCAGACTCAACTCTACGTCCTATGATTTAACTCAATTCTGACACTGTCTACCAAGAGTTGCAGTCATATGGGCATCTTGTTCCCACAAGATGTCCCCCACTTCAGATGCCATTTAGAAGCCCCAGACTGTGACCTATGCTTCTGACCGACAAGCTCTAAGTCAGAGATTCCTATGACCTCCTCCTCAGAATCTATTAATTTGCCAGGGAAACACTTACATTTACTTGTTTACTATAAAGTGTATCACAAAAGATGTAGCCAAGTGGCCAGATGGATGAATGGTAGGGCAAGGTATGCAGGAATGTGTGAAGCTTCATGTCTTCTCTCCAGGTATGACACACTCCAGGCATGTGTCAGCAATCCAGCTCTCAGAGCCCTGTCAGGATCTTTGAGGATTCATTATGTAGGCATGATTGATGGCATCATCGCCATTGATGATTAGCTTGACCTTCAGCCCTTTTCCCCTTCCTGGAGGTTGAGTACAGCTGACATTTCCAAACTTCCAATCACATGGTTGGTTCCACTGACAACCGGGCCCCATCCTGAGGCATCTAGGAGTCCAAAAACAGTTTCTCTTAGAACAAAAGATGCTCAGATCACACAGGAAATTCCAGGGGATTTAGAAGTTCTATCAGGAACTGGGGTCAAAGACCAAATATTAGAACAAAAGGTTCTCTTAATATAGTACTTCTTCTGTGAGGGTGTGAGATTCTCAAGAAACAGGGGCAAATATTTATTTCTTATTGTATCACAGTATCACAATTAAGATACCTAGTAGCAGTTTCAATTATGGTTGCTTCCCTGGAAAGTGTATACACTCCTCTTCCTGCCCCTCCTCCTCCTCCTTTCCCCTCCTCCTCCCTATTGGTCAGGGTCATGATCATTTATCTAACATTCCACAGAATTCAATGGAACTTCCTTAGCAGAAAAATCAATTGACCACGACAAAGTACAGATACAAAGAAGACAAGGGTTCATTCTCTGCCACAAAAATGGCACTCTTGAGTGATCCTGGTAATACAGTGGAGCTTCATTTTATTTGGGAGTGAAGTTCTTATGTCTAGGCATAAGGTGAGCTTTGAGAATAAACAAACTTAGTCCTGGGAGCATCCACAGAAGGGCACCCTGTACAGACTCACACATGGGTCATGATCAGCCCCACACACCGAGTGAAGATTCCAATGATGGGAAACGTGATGATTCCTTGAGTTGACTGTGTTTAGAGTTCTTGGTGTCTCTGTACACACTAGAACATGCTCCACACTCACACAGAAGGAACAAAAAGATCTTATCATCCATGTTCATGACCACTGAGTGGAGTTTCAGCCAGATTCTCCAGCTCTGTTAGAATAGTTGTTATTTTTTTTTCTTTTCTTTTCAAGAAACAAGTTAAATGTATGTAGACAATGTAATCTATTAACTTACATCTGAGTGATCTTGAAGATACAGAACCAGTCAGGCCCACATCCAGCCATGTATTGAAAATGCTTGTTTGTCACTCATGAGAGCCTGTGTGCTTCAAGGTTTCTATTAGGAGAGAACTTGACCTCTAAGCAGGTTTAAGAGGACTGCGTCCCATTAGGGACTAATAGTGTGTCCCATTAGGAGTCCCTATTAGACCATTAGGACCTAATGGGACTGTGTGTGTCCCATTAGGAGGCACAGGCCAGGCAGATGTTAACCCTTTCCATACTATATATTGAGATGAACAAGAAGCAAGAACTTGGCCTTTTTTGCAAAAACAAAGGAAATCCATCTCCCTTCCTCCATGACTGGCTAGAGCTAAACTGAGAATTGTTTTCGTTTTTGTGTAGATTTATCTTTGGTGATCATGTGTGTGTGTGTGTGTGTGTGTGTGTGTGTGTGATTCATAATGAAAAATGGGAATATTGCCTCTTTCCAGAAGGTCAGAAGAGTTTCTCTTCGGTGTCTCAGATAAATTGAGGGGGAGAAAAGTCAGACTTCAGCTGCCAGCAACAATGGAAATTTTTTTACTGTGAAAAAGATATAAGCTTAGTGGATCACTAATGAAGAAATCAGAATAAATATGAAGAACGTGAATAAACATGTTCAGCCTCACTGGGAAGCACGGAAACACAAATCAGAGCTACAGTGAAATACTATATTATTTTGTCTGCCAGGCTGAAATAATTCAAGAGATGAATAATATCAAGGTTGGCAAGGTGTGGAAAACTCGGACCCTGTTCTACTGGTGGAGAAGTAAATCGGGACAGCGTTTTGGGAAGCCAATTTGGATGGACAATCGGCCTTCTGTATCTGTAGGTTCTATACCCCTGGCTTCAATCAACCTCAGGTGGAAAAATACTTGGCAAAGCAAACTGCATCTGTGTTGAACACGTACCATTCTCGTCATTATTCTCTAACCAGCACAGTGTAACAACTATTCACACAGCATTTACATTGTGCAGGTATTACAAGGAATCCTGAGGTGATGTGAAGCGATACAGGCGGATGTGTGTCAGATGCCAATACCAGGCTGTTTTACAGAAAAGACTTGATCTTCTGTGGATTTGGTATCCATGGAGGGACCTTGAGCCAATTCCTTGGTTGCCAAGGGCTGGTCACATTCATTAAATTTTAAAATCCAGGAGCCTGCCCCCCAAACTCTCAGTTCCAATTCTCATAACCCGCCCTAGATAGAGGGATACAGAAATGCATGTGCAACTCTTATTCTCCACCCTAGCTACGCATGAGCGTCACCTGGAGAGGTTTAAACAAAAAAATCAATGCCCAGGGTTCACCCCAGCCTAATTAAATTAGAATCTCCAGTGATGGGCCAGGCATGTGAGGTCTTAGGTCTCAAAGCCACAGATAAGCAAGGATACTTGCGGCAGCTTTCTTCGAAATAGGTGAAAATCTACATGTCCATGAGTGGGCAGAGTAAACAAGCAGTGGCTTATTCATAAGATAAGATAACATCCTGCAGCTTCATCGTGAAATGTCTTTCTGACTATGACGTTAAAAGGCCTTGCATGATCTCGTTGCTGCCTCTCTGTTCTCATCTCCCAGCACTCTCCTCATCCTCCACTCCAGCTACATCGGATGCTCCTGTAGTACGTTGTTGCCTCAGGGCTTTTGCACATGCCATTCCCTCTGCCTGTGACAGTCTTCATCCTGACAGCCACACAGATTATTTCCATCTCTCCCTTAAGTGCTTGTTCATATATTTACCGTAGCAAAGAAGCTTTTACTCGATGTTCCTTATCATCCTAGCACTTATCACTCCCTGAAAAATTATATATTTATGATCTGCTTCCCTCTACCAGGATGAAAACTCCAGGCACGTTTTCACTCCTGTCACTGCCCATAATAATAGAGCGTAGCATCGAAGGGTACCTACTTTGAAGTTGGACTTCTGGAGTTTCAATCCAGGTTCTACATCTAAGTAACTGTGTGTCCTTGGGCATGTCTTTTAACTGATATTTGCCTCAGTTTACTCTTACATAAAATGGGTATATAAACAGTGCCTACTTTCTAGAGTTAGGAGAGTCAAACTGCATAAAGCATAATGACCAGATTAAATTGCAAAAAGCATACGGACATATTGTACTTTCTGTGTAACTGTTGGGATTACCGTCATCAGTACCGACAGCAGTGTCCAGCTGGTCAATATTTATTAAATAAGTGGATGAATAGAAAGAAGAAAAAGGAAATTGCAGAATAATATACAATTGCCCCCCCCATCCACAAGTCCTGTATTTGCAGGTTCAGCTAACTACAGAAGTAAAAAAAAAAATTGCTTGGACCTGTACTGAGCATATACAGACTTTTTTCCCATAATTATTCCATGAACAATATAATGTAACAGCTACTTCCGTGGAGTTTACATTGTATTGGGTATTATTATACAAAGATGACTGCACGTATACAGGAGGGTGTGCATGGGTTGTATATAAATGCCTTTATCGTTTCATAAAAGGGACTTCCACAGCCTTTGATTTTAGTGTTCTTAGGGGATCTTAGAACTAATCCTTGTCAATGCCAAAGGATGACTGTATGCAGCATGGTCTAATGCAGTAACCACACAGGATGAGCATATAATTTCTCAGCGCAGAGGGAAATGCCCGGAGGATGCACACCACACTTCTAGTAGCACCTCTCACTACTGGGGAAGAGAATAAGATTGAGAAGTGCTCGGAACATCTTTCTGCATTGGTATTATTTGGTGTTTTGCATGTAAAATAAAATATATTTTCCAAGCCAGGCACGGCAACACATGCCTATAATCCTAGCACTCTGAGGTGCTGAGGCAGGAAGATCAAAAGTTCCAGCCCAGTTTTGGTGACTTAGTGACTTAGCAAGATCCTGTCTCAAAATAAAAAAACTTGAATATAAGATGGAGTACTACTCAGCCACAAAGAATGAGAAGCTAGAGACATTTATAGATAAATGGATGCACAGTGAGGCGATGCTCTTAAGTGAAATATAAACAGGACACATTTGGGGGCCAGGGATTTAGCTCAGTGGTTCCGCCACCTGGCTTGCAAGCACAAGGACCGGAGTCCGATTCCCAGTACCAAAAAAAAACCCAGGACACATTTGAGTAGATACCAAATAGTTTCTCTGGTGTGAAAAACTAAAAGTGTAACTAAGGTTCAAATGGTATAATTGATAGTGTGAAAGAGGAAGAAAATGGCTAAAGGGGAAGTGGTAAGGGGAGGGGAAAGGAAAGAAGGGAAAAGAAAAAATGGGGAAAAAAGAAAAAATGGAAACAAGGTCTCTGTAAATAGGGAAGGCTGAAGGGGGTGAAGGGAGGGCAGGGATATGGGGAAAAAATAAGAACCAAGACATATCATGTAAAGGTACACGATCCCAATGATAAATGTAACTGTACTGTTTGCTTTCAATGTACCAATACTTAATAGGAAGAAATAAAGATATAAAAATTTAAAAATTAAAAATTTGAACAGGTATGGGGATGTAGCTCAGTGAGATCGATTAGATGATACTGATATGGATGTTGATACAGATATACGTAGAGAGCTCCAAATAAAATGGAAACCAGTCCTTAGAGTCAAAATCATGCTAGTCTAGGGATCAATTTCAGCCCTCGTGTAGCCAGAATGCTCTCCATCTAATAAAGGAATCTGCAAGCCCAGAAAGCCCAGCAGGGGGTCTTGATTGCTGTCTTTCTTTCTCACTCGGTCTGTCTTCCACACAGTGCCTGAGGAGCCTGCAGTTGGCCGTAAGCATGGAGAACGACCCTCATTCCCACACCCAGAAGTTTGTGAGGAATGGATTCTTGACTTTAGACTGTGAGATCTCTTCCTCAGGACTCTCCAGAGGCGGGTCCCTGGCAAGTGCACAGCAACACAAAGTCCAAAACGTAGGAAATCCAAGCTGCGCAGCCACGTCAGCCAATGCCACTGCTTTGTAAAACAAGAAGAAAATGAAATCTCATTGTGTCCGCTGAGTGAAGCTCTTTGTGTGCATTCTTCTTCTCCAGAGGTGACTTCCAGAGATCTCATTCTTCTCCAATGGGTAGGGGTCTGGATCTGGCGGTTGGGGGGTAGGAGGCTGCAGGAAGACGCTAGTGTTTCTAGCATCGAGTACAAGCGTTTGCAGCATGTTTAAAGCTGTCTAGTACCTCTGAATCCATGGGTTCTTTTCCTTTCATTTTTTTTCATGATGTAGATTTGCTTCAATCCTTAGTAACGCCCCAACCAGGTCATCAAATACCTGAAGACTCTCTGGCCTTCTGTTTTCATCCTTATTTTTCTGAATATCGCCCCATCCCCAACTCTCAATGGTCCATTTGACCATAACCTCAGTCTTCATTCAAGCAGACTCTGAGAATGTACTTAGTGGTCAATCCGAGGCTTATGAGCATCCTCTCCATCCCGTTTGGGAATAAACGGGATGTCTGAGTTTACCAAATATACTTCCCAGCACCCACCCTCCTACTATCTAATCATCTAATCTCTCTCTCCCCTCCACCTCCATTTCGATCTCTATCTCTCTCTATTTCTCCTCAAGATTTTTTGTTTTCCTGGATCCCACCTGGAAATGTCACACCTCTGTATTTTGGCCAAAGGCAAATCTTTTGGGTCTGAATGACGTGGTTTGACGATGCCATTATTCTGCCTGCCAGAACGTGCTACCACAGTGTTTTGCAGCGTGTGTGCCACTGGTGGCACACAGATAACTTCTAATTCATTCATAGCCACATTAGTTGATACTGAATCACACAGTAACCCTTTTCTATTTTTTTTCTCTCGTTGAGTTTATTGGTACTTTTTAGGTATACTGTACAGTTACATTCATCATTGGGGTCTTGTACCTTTACATGACAGGTCTTGGTTCTCATTTTTTCCCCTTGTCACTGTCCTCCCTTCACCCTATTTACAAACACTTTATTTCCATTTTTTCATTTTCTCCTATTTTTTTCTTTTCCCTTATTACCTTTTCCCTACCCTTCCCACTTTCCCTACACTTTAGCCCTTTTATTCCCATTTCACGTTGTCAATTATATCATTAGGATCTTATGTACTATTATAGTTTTTCACACCAGAGAAACTATTTGGTATTTACACATGTGTGACTTATTTATTTCACTTAGGAGTATATCCTCAATATGTATCCATTTTCCTATGAATGACAATTTATCATTCTTTATGGCTGAGTAGTATTCCATTTTATAGAAAAAAACGTATCTTCTTTACCCAGTCTCCAACTGATGGGCAAATGGACTGTTTCCAAGTTTTAACTGTTACAAACTGTGCCACTATAAACATAGATGTGCATATATCACTGTGATATGATTCTTTTAATTCTTTTGGAAAGATACCCAGCAGAGGGATGGCTGGGTCAAATGGAACCTCTAATCTTTTCAATCCTGATTACAGTGAGAAGAAAGTCTGTTTTGGGCTAATGGGTCCTTAACACCTTTTTGACACTGTGTTTCCTTGGCCTTTTAAACAAAAAGCAGCCCTCAGGATTGGTCTTCTGTCTACAGAGAATTCAATGATGCTGTTTTGTTTGTATGGTATTTATTTTATTTATTACCTTTCATTTGTGGCTTTGACAAGATGTGAGTACTATATTGTTTCGTTCAAATAAATTTACTTAAAAATAAACAGACTCAAAGACAAATATCAGGTAATTATATAACAGGTGATATATATGTATATAAATGGCAAAGGTCACTTCAAGAAGGTTAGAAACACGGTGGTAACACACTTTTAGATCCAAAAGAAAAGGCAGCTTATTCTAACTGAATGAACAAGAGGCTGAGAGTCAAAATACCTTTTTCTTTTTTCATTTACTAGCTGTGCAAGCTGATCTTAGGTACCTTCCTTAGCTTCTCTGTGCTTCAAATTTCTTCATCTGGAAAATGGAGATAAGAAAGCTTGCCTACTTACCTCACAGTGTTATGAAAATTGTCAAAAAAATGCACTCCTGGGGGAAATTCTAAGTGCTGTACAAACACAAATTATGGTTCTTAGAACATTTTAAATCTCAAGCATTTGTTAAAATACTGAACCCTGGTTGCGGGGGGCGCTGACAGACACTGGATTCCACCTGTCATTTCACCCAGATGTCTGTCATGAGCCAGAACTTGACCCAGGAGTACACTGAGTCAAGGACATGAATTCTCAGCATACAGGGATGCTAGCACCATTCCGATATATTGGATCTTGATTTTGTTTCTGACATTTTGTTATTTGTGTATGTGTGTTTGGGTCCCTTCCTAGTCTTTCACCCAAATCAAATGAAAAGTGTTGCTGAGAGGCAGAATAAAACTGGTTTTAAGTAAACTGTGTACTATGGTGTGTGAGTCATGCTTTCTCAGGATTCCCATTGTTCTAGACATTTCCATTACCAAAATGTGACCACTTATCTCAGCATCCTTCCATAGAGAAGACCACAGAGAGGGCAGGGATGGGGCTAGAAAGGAATCCCCTAAACCAACATGGCCTGCAATGCCTTTCTATGATGCATCACAAACGTTGGTTCTGCTATAATCAAAGTAAAGCAAGAAAAATTCTGTCACTAAGCGAGATCCATAAAATTAAGGGGGCTCTGATTCTTTCATTTTAGTGCTGACAAAGTGGGATTGCTGTCTTCCCCAGGATATTCTAAAAAGGTGAAATCACCCCTCTGCTCTACTCTCAAAAGCACAATTAGAAAAAGGATTGACCTAATGCATCTCCCAAGAGTTTTATTCATTAGCCAGTGACAAAGACTGGCTAGAGCAAAACGTAGAGCTTACTGTTCGTGTAACTGAAAATCCCAGGGTAGCATCAGAGATGGCTGGGTCTTGGTGTTCAATGTTATCAAGAACTTGTCCCTCCACACTTGGCAGCCTCAATTTATTGAGTCCATTTCAGTTGCATTGTGATGAGTTGGCTGCCATTAGTTTTGGACATCTTCCTATCAAATTAGCAACACCTGTGGAAGTAACGTCTTTCTGCCTTAATAGCTCCACAAGAGAAAAAATGGTTCAACTCAAAATAATGCACAATTGATTCAAAACAGGAAGTTGCCCATTAGAATAGATATGATCCATTAACAAATAGATGTGAGCACCTTATCCATACAAACCGATGCTTGGCCAGGAGTCTTTGGCCTCCTCTTTGGCCAGCTTTGAACCACTGGAGTTGAGTGTGAGGTTAACTCCATGCAATCTTTATGGACGGAAAGTGTGGGAAGGGGCGGTTCCCCAAAGGAAAGCCAAAGTGCTTTTACCAGAAGGAGAGACAGATGCTGGGCAGAACAAACAACCACTGTCCACATACAGCGTTCTGCTTCTAACTGTGCTTTCCACACACAGGACGATAGGAATCCAAGCTTTTCAAACCATTCTGCCATTGTGCTGTCATTCACATCCATTTCTTCTCTGGCCAATATAGAGAGAACAGCTGCTCTACCTTAGATACTGGGCCAGGATTTGGAAATTCCAATGTGATCAAGCGGGACCCCTGGAAAGGCTGCTCACAGTCTAAAGGGAGGAAAGGGGCGCATACACGAACAATCAGAAGGAACTGTGAGGAGCACGAGTGGAATATTATACAGTTGCTTGAAGAAGGGAGCTCTGGCTATATATGGAGGAGGGAGGTTCTAGGAACAAGGGTCGCTGTCCCACCCATTCTTTGTATTGCTCAGACTGATGTGGCTACGGCTCTGGAAGTTGCCCTGTCTTTGCCCACAGTTATGGGCAGAAGCAGATGCAGATATAAAATCGCTGGCCTCAGC